CTGGTAACATCCCCCGGTCGGCGAACACACCTACACGAAAAGATAAATCGCTCTCCCAAAACCCCCAATTTAATTCCTGACCGTAACACACATAAAAAGTGTCTCAAAATAGGAAAGAAAAATTATTAAAGATAAACCCGTTTTGAATTCCATTTAAATTAACAGAATATGCTATTAAAAAATACATACACAGAGAATTTAGAAATAGATAAGAAAAATTAATGAATCAACTTCCTTAAACCATAGGTTCAGAAAAATGTAAGTGCATTTATGCAGGTAGGTTCGAGCAAACGGTATGAACTAATGTATTTTGTTAGAGGTTGATTTTATGATGCAGGAATATCACTACGCTAAAAGCTAATGTCCGAAAAATCAAATGGGATGTGCTTCCGGATCGATAAGTCATTACATCTCCCGAATTAAATGCCATCTGAGCGTTGATGTTTGGGGAAGACGTCCATTGTGTGAATTCGGATTGATATTAGAAATCAATGATAAAAATGAAAGTTTGGTGGGGCTCCCTAAATTGGAAATTATTTATTTTTCGTATGAACATAATTCAAACTTTTGCCAGACATCTCATGAGATGTGACATGTTCAAGAAATCTTTATACAAACATCCACAACATATGCGGGTTTGATAATGTTGGAGAGTGTCCAGAATGGCTTCAATAAATCGTTTAGTAAAATGTGCGACAAAATCCCAAACATTTGTTCATTGAATCACAATGCCAACTTGAATTTCAATAGGAGTTTGAGGCCGAAAGGGTGTGGATAAATAGTTAGGATGTTGCTGATGTTGCTGTAGGATACTAAGCAGTCGATTGAACATAGATCGCAAAATGCGAAAATGAGATTTAAAACCATTATACTCGCTCTTGCCATTAAGATATCTGTCCAATAAGCCATTGTTTTGGCCGAAGTAAACGAGGTGTACTTAATCATTGGCATTAAATCAAACAATTCTATATCAATTAATATTGCATCAAATTCTTGTTTAGATTTTATTACTTCTGTTACTATGAAGGTAATAAGTCTTTTCCGGCTGATACATTAACAATAACAGTCTCATACAGAAGGGCATTATTTATGCACATATGCTTAATTGCAGTCACTTATGAATTTTATCACATAATAATAAAGGTAAATATGGTATTACTCTATTTAGAAAGCTGTTGAAAGCTGATCTCCTATTTATACTTTGTATTTGTACAACTTCAAAATTTGATTGGGCATCAAAGCTATGAGAAGGTCCTTTAAAATGTTTCAACTCCCTCAAAACATTATATTTTTGAAATTTTGAAATTTGAAACAAAACACAAAGATTTGGTCATGTAATCTGAATTTTATTGGTGGAATTTATTCATTTTGCAGCTGCAATACCCATAGACATCACCTATAGAATTGTTACTTTAATAATTCAGTCTAAACCTCACTTCCCTATTTATATTTATATTACTCTAATTTCTCAATTGTTAAATTACTCCACTGTTTGCTTATCTATATCATAATTATTAATTATTTATATGATGTAGGATTGCAAAATTTATACAATGTAAGATTTGAATAAGATATATGATAATAAATATGCATTTATGAAGTATACAATAAGGAATGTCTGCTCACACAAGCAACACTGTTTAAATTTCTAAATTTGTGTGCTTGGATACAAAAGCACACCTAGACAAAGCACAAGCCAGACTGCTTGGATGCATGATTCGGTTTCATCAGCATCAACAGAAAAATGCAGTCCATATACATAGTAATAGGTGTTTGGCCTCTTTTGAGTTGGCCTTTAATGTCTGTGTTGTGCACCTCCTCATCTCTTTTTTTTGGCATAAGCACAAGCCGGACTGCTTGGATGCATGATTCGGTTTCATCACCATCAACAGAAAAATGCAATCCATAGGCGTTTGGCGGGTTGCCAATCTCTTTTTCTGGCGTTTATATAACTTCCCGCCACGTTTTTATAAACCCATATTTTTCTTGGCAGGTATATGGTTAACCTGCCTCTATCAAACCAGAGTCCTTTCTCTTCCTCTCAGTGAGTAAAGTTCAACTGAGTAAGGAAACCGCGGCATCGATTTCTTCTTTTCCTCGGTTGAAGAGGTAAAAGGTTTGTCCGCGAGGTAAAAGACTTCATCCTTTTCTTCACCACCAGCTCTGTCATCCTGCTGAGTGGGATATTGCCGTATGTTTGAGGGTGGGCAAAGAGAGGACAGTAATGGTTTATTCAAATTCTCTAATACCCTATAATGCCCTCCGAGAGTGTAGTTTATTGAGAGAGAAGGCACATGATATCCAAAGCTTGGAGTGCGCATTTTATAAAAGGGCTAATAAAAATGTCTTTATGTGGAGGACATAATTTGTCTTTGTTCTTTTGTTAAGGAGACCGCGATAAGACAAAATTTTTTTTTCTTGCTTTTGACAAAGATCACTAATTTCTTTTTCACTAGTTCTTTTTGATAACTTCCTTTTGGTACGTTCTAGTCGCTTTCAATTCACGTGTCGTCTATCACCCAATGAGAATAGCATTAAATCAACATCCGTGCTTCATTTTCACTAGTACATTTATAGACTAGCAACATAGACCTGGCGTTGGTCAGTTAGCTGCTACTCAATTGCTTAATTGTTTAATTATAATTATAATATAATGTTCTTTACCCTAACCGATATATCTACTCTAATCACAAAGTTTAAATGAAATTGCTGCACGGATTGATCTCAATTCGATGATCATCTGGCAAGGCGTTCACCACTATGTGAGCTAATTACTATGCCTTTTTTATTACTTCTGTAATTTGAACTTGACTAACTGGCTTCTTCTAAGCAGGAACAACAAAGGTGCAATCCCGTTGACGAGTATTATTTGATTGTGTGTGCCACCGTTGGAGGAGTGGCCGTATGGCGCTTTACTATTTTACGACGAGTATTGGCAGAGGTTTTAGAAAATCTTTGGATCTTGGTTTGAATCGGATTAGAGATACAGAAGCACCAGCATTGGTAAAGGCTTTAGAGTCAAATTTCTCTCTGACCAGGAGAATCATTGTTCAGGATCATTATTCAGAAAAGCCGTAAGTTTGATCGAAGCCAACTGCAAACGTAATTCAATGATTTATATTTACTTCCCAGTTATCAAATTGTTCCCCATTTAGTGTACGGCCATTAATAAAGGTACTGGTGCAAGGCAACATTCTGCAGGAAATAGCTCATGGAGATATAGAGATATTCACACATAAACCTGGCGAGCAAATAGAATCTATCTTGTTTATTGCTACACCATCAACTGGAGGTACTTTATTTAATGGTTTACCAACAAACCGCATCTTTTTTTTGTGTATTCAAATTTATGAATCCCATTAATAACACTCGTTTTACTTAATGTTATACATTTATTCGCTTTTGTAACTAGCTCCAATAACCCACTTATGCTTTACTCCGGCATCCATATTGACAACGCATTTCTTCGGTACACTCACTGTCGGACACGGATCCAAGATTTCCATACCACATCATGCTGTCGTTAACCTGACGTCATAGACATCGAACTAACTGGCGAAGGGGAAGACAGTCACAATATAAATCACGACGCTTTTGAAGATACAAAGGTTATGCCTGCCCCTATTTCAGACGATGCATCAAAAAGGAAATTACCATTTGTAGTATTATATATACGCTATCGGAGACGACAATTTGATAAAATCGACAACGTATCCGTGGGAGAAGATGGAGAGAATGGGGAATAGCGACTGGAAAGATGGGAAAGGCTATAATGTGTTTGCTGTGTTTGCTGCGGCAATACAAGTAGAAAGTAACGTGAGATAAGAGGATAAAGAACAAGATTAGTGAAAGAGTTATTACCCTCTTCAAGTTATTTAATCCAGTTCAGACTATCATCTATCTCTCTAATACCGTAATACATTCTTCGACGGCCATAACACGCACTATGATACACGGACTGCGGAGGTTCACTCGTACCGAAAAGAAAAACACAAGAATGTTGCCGTCATCAACAGGACATCTTTTGCAATAAGTAATACCGTATAGTTCCGAAAATAAGCCCTTTAACAATAGGGGGGTGCTTGTTTTACAATCAATCGAACGCCTTACCTCAAGTTTCTAGAGATTGCTAGGTCAATATATCGCTATTTAACCAAGCAACAGCTGACTTAGGCGACATGTATTTGTATTTGAAAGGTGATGATGATCGCAACAATACAAGATCGATATATAGATAATATTGATTTTGCATTGGATTTACAAATGGCCGGAATCTACAACTGATGGAAATGCCTCTGGTACTAGTCACTAACGGCACAGCGAATTAGTCGTAGTGAAGGAGCTTGTTCATGTTGATACTTGTAGAATTCGATAGCTCGGTGCTATACTGCTATATGAAAATGATTACAGTATTGAATGAGAGAAGCAAAGACGAGGGAATGGCAAGAGAAGATTAAGGTTTGTGATCGATAGAAAGACGATTCTGTTCTTGTTATGAGTTAAGCTAAGGCTTTATTTAGATCATTGAAATTCGATACGTCAGTAAATGCTTATTAATACTGTTGTCATATAGACATGTCATAGTTCACTACATTTCATTCCTACGAATACCACTGAGATATACGCTTTTAAACGATCTTTTTCTTGTCAAGCGCATAGTACTATGTTTGATTCTCCACACATTGTACTCTTTCTTCTATATCCGTACATCCTTTCTTGTAACTTCTCATTTCCAAATTCGGAATTCTTTCCACACTTTCTTGATCATGACTTCGACCCGTCTCCGATTCCACGCACTCCGAACTGGATCGTTATTCAGTCAATATACTCTGATTTTTACTTCTGCTTTTCTGTTAATACAAACGGAAATTAAACTGAGCTGGAGGCCATCAAAACCATATCGATACATTACATATACTAATTTGCAAATGCTTCTTAATTATAATCTCAGTTCCAATCAGAGGACTTTTCGATATCTTATTCTTCTCCCTTCCAGTGGTAAGAACTCGCCCAGAAACTGTCTACTCTTTCTTGCCACGCGTAATTGCATAGAATTCCCAAATGCTCGATAAAACGCTCGTTGATCAAAGAAGATCCGTCAGCTAGTGTCCGAAAACGGCATTTGTTAATGGATGTCACCAAAAAGTAGCAAACGTTCAGATTTACAAATTTCTATTTACCAGATATAATAGTAGAATTTTACGAATATCGGAATGGTCTTCCATTTCGATTTCTTATCCGCACGGGTTCTCCCACTTGTGGAATTCCCTCGGAACCTACAACTTGCTCAAAAGCCGAAGGCTGTTTTTCTCTTCAATTTTCCCTAGACATGATCTTCTGTATCGACATTACATTAACCGGAGAAACTGCCTACCGTCATGAGATGGGATTTGAGAGGAAAAAAAACCTCCCTCGATTTGGCGGTGATTCTTGTCACAAATCAAGTGTTTTGCCGTTACCATTTAGCCAAAAATAAAATATTATTTACTTCTTCATCAGTTTTTTTAATGTCTTTACTTCTCCTAACTCCTTTTTAATTCTTCATCTTCTTCTCCAAGATAAACTCGTGCTGATTAATAGTAACCAATCTGGCTTTTCAATTTTTCCGTCTGGACTTGTTTCGCCTTTTCATTCTAGTCATGAAAATATCGCCTAATGCATAGTGCATTATGTTTAACTTTGCCATATTCATCGTCTTCCCACTTCTACATATTTGATGAAGAGTTGCGTTTTTTGCAAATCCTCGTTTGACACATAACCATCTTCCTAACTTGCTAAGGCCTGAGTGCTACTCTGCAGTATAAAATTGTATGTATTTGGCGAACCTTCAATCCATCTTATTCAGGTCTCATCCTGACACATCCCCTCCAACCCTAACCTACAAAGTTCTCGTCTTGATATAGTAAATATATCTCCCCCATTATCGCCCGGCGAAATCATATTTCTAAGTGTTCTTGTTTTCCCGTTAACTATCCCTCTACTCTTCCTCCTACAACATGCCACCACCTTCCATTCTTTTCTAGAACTTGTTCTGTCTCTTCCTATCAATGTCACCGATTGCAGGGCATATGTAATGTTCAGGATATTCATCATCTTACTCGATCTTTAAGCCTTTCTGCGATCGAGAGAGACAGAAAAGGAGATAGAAGGTGGATATTTATAAAAATATATCCAATTAAGAAATCATTATTGAGTGTTATTACAACTTTCAATCTCGCATAGTTCTCGTATTTGCGTAACTTATGCGAATTGACAGACTGGCTTCGTAATAGCATGAAACCAGAAATCGTTGTTCAAAAGGCGGTAATACCAGGATTAAAAAACAGCAACATTTCTGAGAATGGGGTAGAATCGTAATTGGTGGGAGCAGCAATATATACCGTACCATCACAGCACAGCGAATGCCATAAAATAAATATTATATTCTTGAATAGGTTTGTTGTCAATCCTCTTTCAATCGTCGTTATTGTCGTTATCGGCACCTTTTCAAGTGCCGTTATTATTATAACCTTCCCTCCGGGATGCTCGTCTCGGTTAATAACACCGTACTATTTATTGCACGAAGCGTTAACACGATGGCTTTTTTCACCGTAATAATCTCACGTCAACTAACAAAATGTACCAACCATCACCTTTTCCAAATCCGCGTCAGCGTGCCGGAGGACTGACGGCCTAGTATCAATTGCAATCTGCATTTAAAATCGACATCGCATGATCATCCGTTTTTCTCTCTATGTCCACGCTCGTGCGCACCGGGACTCGATGATCATAAACATGGAGGGTTGGTTATGGAGACATGGCAATGGAAATGAAAATAAGGAATTCCATCCTTTCTCTGATATCGCTTGAACATATTTCATCCATCTTTTCAGTAATCGTTTCATGCTCACGGCGATATTCTGATGAGTCGTCTTGACTGGCGACGGACAAATGGATTGTGAAGTGCGAAATTTTGTATGGCAGTTTATTAGAGCGGAGTGTGTTCAAAGTTCTTGCCATGGCTGAACGATTGGATATGTAATGAATTTGATAGTTACTTTTTTCCTGAACTTGCACATTTCTCTTTCTATTGAAAAATATTTATATGAAATTAGAGATCAAAAATACTGTCTTCGCGTTCGTCATGACGAAATGTAATAATGTCAATAATGCAACATATAATATATATGTACTTATCGCTTACCGCCTCCAACCAACCAGGACGGACGTCTATTTCTTGAATACGAAATAAATTGTTAATGGAGATAATTGGTTAGCGATCAACAAAGAAAGGATTAAGCATAGGAGGAGAACTCGTAATGTCAACCTTCAAATGGCAAAACAAACCAGCAATATCAGCAAGAATCAAAGCGGGTATGACTGTTAATGGTGGTAAGTAATAGGGTAGGGCAACGCGATCGAACATGTGAAATGTCGATAGCTTGGTAGTACAATTTTAATGCGATAATTCCCAGAGCAAGGTATCAGACGACTGGCAGCGAGGATTATTTCTACGGTGAGAATCTATATAACTTCTGATGTTTCAAAGAGTTGGCTTGGCCATATGGTAGCAGCTGTTTGTCGTATGTTACTTTTTCATTGTCCATGTACAAACGCGGTCGTAATTTAATTTTTCTACGCAATATTCAGGTCGAACGCGAGTCGATAGATTTGGTAGACAAGACACTAGCTGTCTGTAATGAAGAAATGTTGTCAATATCAGGAGTACTTTCTCTTTTCTATATGAACCTGATCTCCGAATGGTTTCAAATCGAGCCACACATGCTCTACACTTTACCTTTCGCTCCCAAACACCCCCAATAATCGTGTCAGCAGAATTATGGAAACAATATTCTTCGCCTGTTCGAAGCAACCACTTCCTATTATTTCGTCTCTAGGCGGACTCTCCATTAACGTAATTAGACTATTTAATCAGGACATGGAAAATTTCATAAAGGTTATTCTGACTGTTCCAAAGAATGCTCAGATACTTTCTTTAAGAAGGCGAAAGAGCAGAAAATGATTGGAGAGATTACATTGGACGATATTTTGTTTACTGAGTTACCAGTTTGATGAAATGGTGGATTGAATATAATGCGAAAAACCTACGAGGGACACGGATAGGTCGAAGCTTTTTAGAATTTGCAATTCTTACGCGGGAGGATAATGTTTCGTCGCTGGCCAAGTTTAACTATTTCTTGAACCCCAGATTGATGCCGCCAAATAATGATTTTCCTGACGATATGTTACCTTATAATGCTTTTCTCGCTCCGATTGTATACGCAAGCAGAGGGAGGTGGGTGTAGATTGGAAATGGACATGGAAATATGGACTCGTAAACGAATCTTTGCTAATGCCTCTTTTTATCACCCTTCCAGCAGGTGGAAGCATAACGTCAATTAGCAGGCGGAGCGTTTCTTCTGGATTAGCGTTGAATCAGTCTATTCCAATTAGCGCATTATTGTCTGGCGCCGAGAATATATCTGGGAGTCAATGGGAAAGCGAGATGATAAGTGCTTGATGAACAAAAGGCTGTATTTTACTTAAAATGCCACCACTAATACCAAGCAGCACAATCGGTCAGGCTGACGGGAGAGGACATATTCATCCACTGCATGATCTGAGAAGAATGATGGGAATCGAAAAGAGGGATTTAGCTGCGTAAGTCCAAGGCCAATTCCGGCCATATTAGAACTAAAACACAGAAAGCTTCACATATAAGTAAATAATCCTACACCTGACCCATCTGGTCAACTCAAATGTTATTCTCATAGTAACTATCGTTTTATTCTATTACTTGTAGAAGCTGCCGAAACTATTAAAAAGACCCACATACAATCTGATCTATGACAAGACGCATGCGGTTATCTGTTTATGGCGACAATTGAGACACACTATGCTCTGGCCACCACAAAGAACCGACTTCCCAATTTGCGGTACATAATATAATCAATAATGCTTGTGACTCAGTATGACGCAGGGATCTTTACTGGCGATGTATATGGATGGTGTCTTATCTTATTAATATTGTTTTTATTTGTAATCCCTTGTAGGATGAGCTTGCACGAGATTTTGGAGGCATCGACCTAATAATAACAATAACGTGTGAATCTGCTCTTTGGAAGGTTTAGTTTTTCGAGGAAATCTTATAACCGGAGCTTTTATGGCATATACAATCATTCTAGCATATTGGGTGAATGTGTATTTTGTCGATGCAATTAAAAAGAGTTTATTATTGTTTTGAAGATTACAAATGAAGGCAACTCCCTCACAATAGAGAAGAACAATCGTTATACTGTGATCTATGAGAATAATACTGAACTAACTGTAGTGTCTGCTTACTCCTCGTTTACACCTGTTCTCCTTCCACGTATGGATCTCACACCTCCCATCTCTATACAGATCACACCAGCGTCGATCTGTTCGACTTTACCTATTGAAAGAATCTTTTAAAGACAAGATGAAAACACCGCCCAGAACAAACATACACATGTCTGTCAAATGTTGATAGTAATGGCTGATCGAAACTGGTAGAATAGGTTTTTCGAATAGCCTATCCCCATCAAAAAAATAAAACCGGGAAACTTCCCGCCACTCGTTTATAGAAATATATTTTTCTTGGCAGTCATAGACTATTGAAGTCAACCTGACCAGAGTCTATTTGCTCCATTTTCCTCTTCTCCCCTCCGCGAGGTAAAGGCTCCACCCTTTTCTTCTTTTCCTCGACCATCAGGTGTCCTTTTCTTCAAAACAGTGACTGAGGCTGCAACCACCCAAGGTTGGAGGTGAAGATTGCTAAAAACGAGGATATTCACTTCCTCGACCACTCAGCTGCTGAGTGGGATATTGTCGTCCCTTGGGTAAGTTTACGGGGAGGGTGGGCAATGGTAATGATTTGTTCGGTGTAGTATATTAAAAGAGGCCTGACTCTTAGTGTCATTACACTATTTGGTACAATGACTAGTACCATATATAAAATTGTTGGGGGGATAAGACATATTTTGTCTTGGGTGAGCGAACGAGGTGTGGAACTTCTTCATGTGCAGCATAAAACAGAACTTGTTGTCTTGTGTCTCCTCAGGAAACTAAAATGTCGTGTCGCCCGTAATATTTTCTCTGCTTGGTATTCGAAATAATGTGACGTCCCCGAGTGGCACATTTTTATTGTGGTTAATATTAATGTCCCGAAGAGTGATGGTGAAAAAAAAAAAAAAAGTAGTCACATGGTTTTGTCTTCATGGGTCATAACATTAAATATTTATTTTGGCTAATGGATCACTTCCATTAAAGGAGACAAGACACGGTGATGTTATTAAATCCAGCTGAAGCTGAAACTGACCAATGGGGTTAGAGAATAGAATCTGATCAACCAATGAAAGATCATAGTTTCAGCTTCAACGTCGATATACTTAAATACTCCACCTTTCCATGCATCGGATTACTCTTCAGCAAGTACGTGACAATCGACTTCATACATCAAGCACATCGTGCGGGTTCCTCCACACTTTGTCACGACATCATACTAGAGAAAAGTAAGTCGAAAAAGAGCGGATCGTGGATATGCTATACGTTGTTGTTGATATTCTGTCATGGTGCAATCGAAATAGAAGATAGTGGATTATATATAATTTAATTTATCTCTAATCGGACCACTTCTGCATAATTTTGTAGGTCTCCGTGGTAAATACTGTTGTATTGGTATGTCGGCATAGGCAAAGGAGTGCATATTGCATCAGAATGCGATGTTATGATGTCTTCTTCACTATTACTCCCACTACCTTCATTCTCCCACTACCTTCATCTGTCATTCCTTAATGAATTAGCATCACCTAACCGAAAGGTTTATCCGGCTTATTGTCAACAAATCATATATCGGCATTGGCATGTCTTCATACGACACCCTCCCCCCTCCGCACTTTCTGATTGACTTGGAGACGTTATGAAAGCATTATGAAGATTGCTTGGGATATTGTATAATATTGGTGACTACAACATAGCGATTAATATTTGGACACAATCACGTTAAGCACAATATATGTATACATAATATACAAGTTCTTCGATAAAGACAGCAAAATTGGAATCGTGTCAGGAAATATTTATGACGATTGTGAACAATGATAGGGTGATATGGTGTCGGCAATGTCCAATTCTTCCATGAATTCCTTCCTCTTACAAGTACGAAAAATATGGCGAAATAGTCAGAGAAATACAAAAGGACATGAATAATGTGATTCCATATCTTTGCCTCAAATAGATCAAATTCAGAATCTGGTCCAAGTTGCCCGCGGGGAGTTTGGAACGTTGTACTATGCAAGGAATTCTGTAACGACGAGAATTTGGGACCCAACGAATGTGAGAGCGATTAATCCGAAGATACACAAATTTTTATTAGTTAAATCCGACGATATTGTCAGTCGTGAAAGGGTTCTGGTAAGGTAGCTTTCATCTGATAATCACCTCATTACCGTTCGATTTTTTCTTTGGGTAGCAGAATGATTATCGTTGTTCGTGTCACATATACAGTACGTTCGTACAACTTGAAAAACGAGAAATATTCTAATTGGTAGTTGACAGTTCGTCGCGCTGGTAGTATTCATTGGCACGAAAGAATTGCACATCAATTAATCAAATATCATTACATTTGTCCAATATTACAGTAATATCTCTGTGTTGGACGAGACTTACGGGTTCACAGTGACGCGTGAGTATAATGGTCCTGAAACGCGTTGGTCCATTCAAGATACAAAGAAATTTTTTATCACACGGTTCTATTTTTTATTTTATAACAGAATGCTTCCGACCTATTGTCATGTTGTTATCAGTGATTAATATAAGTGTCGTTTATTCGGTCATTCGTCTACTCTGGTAGATAATTTGCTCTACCGTCACAGCTATCACCAGGATAATAAACATATTAGTACGTCAAAATTGCAATCGAAGACGTTGAATTCATTATATATAAACTGAGATCGGTAAACGAACTTCACAGCATACAGGAGAAGCGGATTGACGTATTGATCCTACTCTAAAAACCCTTAGCCAAATGATTGTAGTTTTAATTGAAAGATATCAGCAATTTTAAAATATTAACGATTGCCGTATATACCCCCGCCAAAAGTATAATACATCGATCATTTGATATTAATTAAGCAAGTGAAGTCTTCGTCTCCTCCTCACACGGCAACAGTAATATCTTATATCTCTCAATTAAAACTACAGTCATTTAGCTTTACAATGATATAAATTTTATTGGTACTTGTTTAAAAAAAAATAGCAACTTGAAAATTGCGATTTTCCATAGTAAAATCTTATACTTTTGGCAGTGTACCTGTGAAATAGCTAACCATTTCAAGACCCTAGAATGCAGAGTGGGTCGTAACCATATTAAATATACAAAACTAGATACTTTTTGTAGGTCGGGTAATTACGCGCTTTATTCATACTGTATAGTGTTCTTTCATATAATGTTAAGGCACAATGTTCCGTGTATCCATTCTCCCAGCATCGCTTTTAAATTGTTGCTGTCATCTAACTTTTAAATACGAGTATCGTCTTCCAGCTATAGCAGGATGGTAGTCGATAGCAACATAAAGTAGATTATTCACTTTATTAAAATATTAATATTATTTCGATTATTTGCATTAATCTTCGAAAGTCACGTTTTACATCCGATCTACCCCTTATGTACTGACGTGTCAAGAACTTAAGTCAAGAACGAAATTTTTTGTTGAGCTGCATAAAAAACAAAGCAAGCAGCAGACTCACATCGCAAAAAGCAGACCGTCGGCAGTTCCAAACCGCGTTCGAAAAAGTTGTTACTAGTCATGGAGGTGAGGAAGAGAAAGAACAAACGGGGGCAAAGAAGCTTGTTGGGAAGCTTGTCGGTAAGTTTTTGTAGGCGGAAGGTGGTTGCACGACAAGAATGAGAAGATTAACGTACAATACATATTACGGTCATACATACTATTAGAATTCAATAATTTATTATGTTTTCGACTTTTTTCTTCAATAGATATGTTTGTAGAAACAAATTATATGTTCTTAGTCAATTATCTCTGGATCGATCCCAAAGACCTGCACGTCTACAGAAACTGGTTCCGGATTTATGATAATTCTGATCAACGTTAGGCTGCTGCGAGGCAACGTATAGAGGGGTAATAATAGAGCTTCATATGACGAGTGGTAATAAAAGGAGGAATATGTACAAGAGCGCTAAGAGAATGTTTATGGATAGGATGCTCATTAAGTTATTTGTTTTCTGGACAGGATGATAGCGCTGCAGCGTAAGAAAGGACGCGGAGTTGGTTGCTTGTTTTGGCTTTGGGAAGACTGGGCTTTTCACGTAAGTTTTATTATTTTAGCAATTCTTGCTATCGAATCAAGCTGACATTGATTTCCTATGGTTTGATCCGGTTAAGCGTGAAATTAATCCGTGAATTCTCCTCGTTCGGCCTTTGGCAGAGCCGCGAGTAGTATGGAAGACAGTCAATCGGACATTGATAAATATTTGTTCATATCTAAAATCTCAAGGACAATGGTATGAGTTGCTCAAACGAAGAAAGAAAGAAAGAAAGAAAGAAAGAAAGATTTTAAGATTAAATTCATTACTGATCATTGGTATTTATGATAGGGAATATCTAAGGACTCGATAATGCAGGCTTTTATCCAACGATGTCGGTCGACCTTTTTTTAATGAAATTCGTATAGTACAAGACCCCATCTATTAAAAATCAGAGTTCTGCATTCTGACAATAAAGACAATGGGAGGGAGATTGAAAATGTAAAGGGGGCTGCAGGAGTATTTGGTATTGGTACCATGTCAGTATTCAAAACTCCTGACCCGCCTAACCCAACCGTTCGTCGAACAGCCGCATGTAGGCAACACAAAAGAAGATGAATGCTTAGATTTCTGTCGGGATGGTACAATAAGAAGGGAAACGACGCGAGAGATGAGGAGCGTCATTATTGAAGAGTATGCCAGGCTGCTTATTCAACGAAATACACTACACTACACTTACTTTTCGACATAGTATCCAACGCCCGCAATACATGCACTCGATTTTCGATCCTGACCGTACGTTCACACTAGCTCACTTCTTCTTCGTGACGTAATTTCCACGCGTCTCCTGACCGAGCAAGGTCAAGTACAGGCAATCCTTTCCCTTTCTAATACCATTCTAAACCGATACCAAAAACTGACATGGAAGTATCGAAGTATGCGTCGGAGGGGCTGCGAGCGCAATTGGGGATGCAGTTATCGAACAGTTGGTGAACATCCAAGTTATTCGGTACAGATAGCGGCTAGTTGGTACTTAAGAAGTTTTGGGTTTTCAATGCCAGGACTGCTGATGGATTGATTACCAAAGTTCTCGGGTTATTGAACAGGAGTAGTGCGTCGTTTGAATTGCATAAAAAGGCAGTAGGCTATGCGCATGGTCTAGCGGCCTTGCTGAGTGTAATACCTGCACGACCACTTGACATCTCTTCAAGCTAAATGCCCCAAGTGGAACTGCCCCACGAATCTCTCAAAAGATTCAACCTAGAATTCTTGGTTTTCAGTTTGGCATCTTCCCTTACAAGGTACAGCTAACATGGACATTTCAAGGGTGAGGATATCACCACAACACCAGTGCACAAAGAGAGATGCAAGCCACGGAAGTTAGCGGACGCTTCAAGCACGACAACAATCTCAAAATGAGGTCTCTTCAGCATTTATTGCTCCAATACAATCGCTGAAGGTATGTATGTAGTTCCGGCCTGCTTGGACCGGTCATTGTTGAACAGAGGGTATTACCACCTCAAAAAACCAATGGTCATGAAGAGGTCTCAGCTCCCTCGGACACTGGGACAACCATCACGCCAAACGGCGCCGCGAAACGAGCGTATCCGATAACAACGATGATATCTCTGGATTGAAAGAGAAAAATAACAAGCAGTCAGGGTATGGTATAGACGACGACGTCGTTTGCTTCCGATAGAAACTTTACCGGCAGACGACCAAAGGACATTAGCCATGTTTGATTTATTAAATTTGATGTTAGCGCCGAATTAGAGGGACTATATCAAAAGGCATGTAAATATAGAAAGATTTGAAAGTTGAATACAGAAGCCTAGAGACACAAGAGAGGAAACTATCAATGCTCGGATCAGAGAAAATTCAACAACTATGATAAGGGTCACTCCCGATTGAAGGTATCCAACGTTAAGACTCTGAATAGTAGTGAGTTTGCTGATACTGAGATGGATCGGTTAGACGGCCTAAAGAAGGATGTATGGCAGAGGAAACTTTCGGCAAATATATAAATTTGGTTGCGCGTACTGTCTTTAACGTAGCATCAGGCATCGGGAGGTGAACTTATAGTTTACAGCGTTCGTACGTAGCTGCTTGTAAGTATCCTAATAATTTTGATCTGTCTAAGCACATTAGTCTCCTAATTGACGATCTGACCGCGTTTCATTTGGCGCTAAGTGGAGTGTTAGGTGATACTGGATACGGGTATCTTATTAAGACAGAATCGCAATTGTTGCGCTGCAGGCGAAAATTGCTTGAAGGAAGGATAAGACTGTTCAACAATATGTTGAGTTGGTTGGCGTTGGTACAACAATTACAATTCGGCTCTAACCTTTGTCACGTATAGTCAACATGCGTCATCAGTTGCTCATTGCAGCATCCCTTCCTGCGAATTATGAGACATGTTCTATATATATTTTAACATCATATAAAAAGACCGTTTATTTGCAGCACAATCAGATGTTGACTTTTAGGCTTCTATCATTTCTTGCTACTCGCGTCTTCATTAGACAATTTGCCGCCGCAATCATTTTGAAACCAAAATCACAAAAATACAACATTATTCAAACTCAAAACGGGACTTTGTAATAGTGGTATTATACTAGTACTAGGGTATGATGATAGGAGTATGTAAATCGCTATTTTACGAACACGAATAAACTTGCAACATATTGCTTGCTTTAATATGACGATTCGAAAGGCACGTCTTACATGTAAACAGCGTCGTTCTTGGTGTTGTAAAGAGAAATTGATGGTTGTTTGTTATCATGAACTATAAAGAAAACGCTGTACCATGGTGCTTTACAAGTATTTTGTGTAACAAACCGATCATAGTACATATGGTCTTTTGCATTCCATGAGCTTCAAAAGGTATGCCGGTATTTTACAACATTGAATTTCGCGTTGAGAACTGTTTTGAGAACGATGTAGTCGCGTTCGGGGGTCTTCCTCTAAGCAGCATCGGTCGCCGTGGCGAGTTGATAAGGCGTCCTGCATCTTTTTGACCGACCCATACTGCCCGGCACGTGATTTCCGTCGGATTGGAAAGTATAAAAGTAGTATTGCCGACCTCGATGCGTTTTCTACTATACTCGTTAGTATAGATAAAAAACGCGTCTTTAGGTCTCCTCTAAGTCAGCCGGTAATGTTTTGTACGTCGACGTGGTTTATAATTATAAATTACAGGAAGTAGTGAAACTTGGAGGTATTAGACGGAGAAACGTGGTTTTTTTTTCGATATTATGAAACAATTTTTTGTGGCCGTGGGATCCCCCGAGCCACGTTTCGCTAGTCCTCTATCAACAGTGTGAGCTTAAATGGTGGGGTTTGTATGCTGTGCTGTTGATATAACACATCCACCGGATAAGTTGGAAGTTTAGTGAAAACATGGAGGTATTAGACAGGGAAATGTCTTATACTCCCAAGCGCATGGGACCTCAACAACTGAAAGATTATTCTATTGGTTAATAATAATCAATTGTCAGCTGAAGATCGACGCCCCTTTTATGCGACTCGAATATTTGAAAAATCGTTAAAAATTTATCCATGTATTACTTTACGCAAACTTATACTCGTTGAAAAGCGCAAAAGAACCGTTATCGGATTTATAAAATATTGCCCTAATATCTTGCTTCTTCGTTGAGAAATCGAATTTTGACTAGGATACTATTCGGTAGTTGCCGACCATCCCTAAATTTGCAATTAACGTGGCTAAGTGCATGCGTTGTTGACAATAAAATACTATATTTGAAGTCTGTCATGGAAGACTCGATTTTGCCTCAGCACACAGTCATTAGAAGGGGAGTCGGTGCTAGTCATACGTTTGCGATACATAACTATTTAGATTATAAGGGCTCATCTTCAACGACATTTCTGCAGTTGGCATTGATATTGATATCATGACGTATTTCTTTTTGGTAAGTTGGGATTACACAATGAAACTTGGACATGCAGGTATCAACGTACAGTTGGAAGAAAAACTCTTAAATATTTTATGGGAGATAAGTTACAATAAGTATTTAAAATAGAAACTAAAATAGAACAGAAATCAATTAATATCACATCTATTGTAGTATTATCATTCATTTATTCATTATACATTATATAATGTAATATATCAATTTATATACAATGTTTTATTTTGTACAAAGAATTCTTTCGAGCGGGAACCCCAAACTATTGCGTTCTAATGATGAGTGCAGTTCAATATGCATGGTATTTGGCCAGGGTAAGGGTATCCAAACTGTGAGAACGACGTCACAGAACTACAAAATGTCATGATATATTATCTTGGTAAAATTTAGTCTTGACTAATAATGTGTAAAAAAAGTTGGTTAATACATCATGATATGGGAGAGGGAAAATAGAGAAAAGCAGTACTGTCTAGTCTACCACCTTGGGACTGAGAGCACACAGAGAATTACATTTATGGAATCTTATCGTGATTTACGTGACTATTAATAATGTAATAAGAGTCGCGCAATTTTGGCCATAAAAATTCAAAATTCAAATCTTGACACTTTTCCAGCCAAATTTTGTAATCTTTTTTTTTTCTGTACCATCAGAATGCATTCATATAACTGTTGAACAGATTACTGTGGATGACTACTACAAATGATCGTACGATATGATGATATTGAATAATATCATACGCGTTTATTGCCAAGTATAGTACCGATTTCTTTCCAATTAGACATATTCTAAGAAACGTAGAAACACAAATCTGACAAACAAAACAAAAAAAAAATCATGCAAATTGATTAGAAACATTTGGAAATATGGTTTTTTTGAAGTTTATGTTCGAAATAAGCGACATGCGGTTTTTATTTTATTTTATTTTATATATATTTTATATAGGTTTTTAATGTTTTAGATATATATTTGAAAAATTTTCTGGGGAAATTTCAAAACCCTGACCCGAATTCGGATACTTATGACCGCTACTGTAGACGTTTGTCCCGAGTTTGAAAGGGCAAACAGAACTGACAGGTAATAATTTGATTACTCATGGTTTATACTCTTATACATGCAGTGATATTAATTCTATTTTATTTTCAGGTCTTGCTCAATGAATGGCACTGTCATTCAGTTTCTGGGTGACCGCCGAGAGTAATGATTCGACTGTTGTAAGCACTATACACAATCCAACATTATATCAAGCGGTTTGCTTGTCGTGTATTCTCGCTCTTTTCACATCAAACATTGAATCAGTGGTAGGCCTGTACAGGTACAAGCAACGGCACTGACTGGTCCAGTTCACCTACTTTAATGGCAGGAAAATTCATATAAGCAGGGCAAGAATCTAAGCGACAGAAGAAAAGGGAAGTATTAGCTATAATTGTATAAAGAAGACGCGGAATATTGTCGGAATAACTCGTATTATCAATTGAATACTCAGGCCCGTCGTTCCTCTCCTTAATATTGCTGATATACTCGTGAAAGGATGGGAGAATATAGAATGTTTTCTGTTAGCTGTTGTGAGTGAATTTCAAATCGTGATGTTCGATCGATGCACAGTCTAGATTTACGGCAAGAGTACAGTTTTCTGCCAACACGTTGC